TATGTTCCTGTAAATGGCATTATGGGCACTAAGAATTGCTATTTCCCTTCTGCTTGGAAGCGAAAACTCTAGTGCATCTAATCAGTCCAGCATCATCTGCATGATGCTACATGGCTGTTTATATACTGCATCCCTCATGCTCCTTTTTAAAGAAATTAGTTGGATAACCTGCCAGATGTAGAAGTACGGTAATATTTAAAGAACAACTAAGAAGTTGGTTGCAGAAAGTCTTATTATAATTCTGCTAAATAATATGGACTTACTGCTTATCAACCTTCCACATTTTAAAGAAAAGTATGAGCGATGTACAGGGAAAACATGGGCAGAAAAAGCAGATTTACTATTGATGTTCCTAAACAATTCAGTATCTTTAGAGCAGGCTTATTCCCCTGCCCGTGTTGTTCTGTAGTATTTGATCGGTACATTCATTCTAGACAAAGAATCCATTGAACATACTTTCGCATGTGAAATCTTGGCACAGAGAAAGCTGGAAGAGAGGAATGGTATTTTTGCTTTTACATTTTAATGTATTCTTTTGATTCCATTAAAATGAAAACTTATGTGTAAGTAGCAATATTAACAAATGGATTGGCAGACTTGAGCTCCTTTAAAAAGATCACATCCTCATGCCCACAAGGAATGTAGTAACTAAAGCTATTGGGAAAATGCCTAGACAGAACATTGTGTAGAGCAAGCTTTTGCTGCAAGTCAAAGTTTTAACACAAGTAGTTGGTCATTTTAAAATTCAGTCTCAGTCTGTTCTCAAAACCTTTCACAGACCATGCACAAGTAAAACCTCAAGAAATGAGTGCACATAGCATGACCAGCCAGTTAAACACGGAACTGGAAGCACATGCAATATTTGCTCAATGTACAAACTAGTTTTTAATTTTATGCAGAGAAAACTGCGAGTAGCACAAATGTAAGGTAGAGATTTGTTTTCATGCCAGTGTTCATTTCTGCAGTGAGTGTTGCTTTCTTTATACCTGGATAAAGGGAGCATATTGTGCCAGCAGGCAATCATCAGTTATATGAATGTATGCACTTAAAAAGCTGAAAGCCTTTTTGTTACCAAATTTAAGTTCTAAAATACTTCCAAGCATTTATATTAAATTAAGAAAAATTATTCAAGTATCAGATCAGAGGAGAGTATTCCACGGTGACAAATTTGCCCTTTGATCTCAAAGGAGGGAAATATAAATGTACACTCAGATGAAGACTGTATTCCTCAAAGAAAACTCTTGTTATCATCAGGTGTCCTCTTGAAGTTTTAAAAAATAAGGATGTTAGAGTCAACTTCATCTGGAATGGTTCAAATAAGAACTGTTATGTTTAGGAGACCCTCCGCATTCTCAGTGGGGTTTTTGTTATATTAGGTTTTTTTGTTATACAGATGAGGTATGTCACTTTTTATAAAGTCTTTAGTTTTTGAACTAGTTGTGTCATCCAACCTGAAATGTCTTCAGTTAAAAAGGGGAAAAAAGAAAAACCCTCCTCCTTAGTCCCCCAGTTCCCAATCTAGTACCTGCCTCACTAGTATAATAACACAACTGAGCAAAATTCTCCATTGCCCACCTCCTTACTGAAATAATTCCTCAGACCGAGGAGTTGCAGCAGTATAATCGAGAGTGGAGTCTGTTTTACCGATGTCCATGAGATTGTTTAGAGATGTACCCCAATCAAGATTTGGCAAATACTTCGTAGGTCACAATAAAACACCTAGTTTGTTTAGTAAAAAACCTGCTTTGTCTAAAAATCAGTGTGAAGATTACTCTCTGAAAAAGTATTTTAATTTAAATTGGTAAACTTTTTTAAAAAGAGAGTACCTGAATGCTATTAGTAATTTGTATCGTATTTTAACCAGTCAGCAGAAAAACTTGCACTCATTTTACTGTAAAACAAGTGGTGGGACTTGCCAAGTCACTAACTTTAAACCTACTGGGGTAAAATTATTATCAAAGTATTTTTGTGACTAATTAAGGCCTTAGTTCTGAAATACACTCTCATTGTAATAGGATCATCAGACAAAATCACGCTACTATTGTGCATGAAAATAATAACAAGCATCTTCACAGTGGTCATGATTTGTTGCCTGCCTGTTTCCACTTCTTAGGATTAAAATCCTTTACTCATGAAAATATGTGCACTCATTCCAGCCAGGGTCAAATTCTGCTCTCCGATGTATTCACTCAAATCCCACTGAAGCAGGTGGGAGTTGTGTGCATGCTGCGAGCACAGATTTTGGTCCAAAGTGCCCGAATGAAATGTTTTAACAATATACTCGGAAAAAATTAGCCCTTAGTCCATAAAGATAACTTAGCTCTCGATGGAAGTTCGGTAGCTTTTTTTCTACGTGCATGATCCCTCACTGTGGCATCACATTTAAGGATCACGGCTCCTGTACCCGCCTGGTGCCGGAACTGGGGTATTTCTGTGGTATGGTTTAGAGAGACTCAGCTTGAACATTGTCAGTACAGCAAACACCGCATGCTGAGATGATGTTCTCCGAAACCCCTTATTTGGCACAAAAAGAGGGGGGTTTAGCACAAAAAAAACCCCTCCTAGCCTTACTAAATACTCTGTATTTTACAAAATTTTCCAAAAATGCATTTATCCAAATTATACATGTTTTTACTGTGAAGTTTTCCTGTGACGATTTAGACCTCAATCCTGCAAACACTTAAGAGATGTGAGAAACTGTAGACATGAACAGTGGTTAGAGCTGCCACCACAGGACCAGCCGAGGGAATCGTAATGCTGAATGTTGTTCAGATCTGTAGAAGTGGGACCTTATTTCTCCATGGGTAAAATGTAATTAATTAGAAATTACAAATTATCACATCACCATATCGTTGGCAGATGAGTACACTATCAACATTACTGGGGGTGACAGTGGTCATTGCAAACACTTACTGGTGGTGGTATGAAAAAGATGAAATGACGCTTGGATCTTTCTAACTAGAGTGTTTGAAAAGATCCTGAACATTGCTTAAAGATGCTCGTTACTGCAATTGCATGTAGCTGAAGAACAACTAAATTATCAGTGTTTTAAGGCATTTCTGCATGACAGAAATGATGAAATACAACCTCCTAACAGCAAAGCGATGACAGACAGACAGTTTTCCAAATCTCCTGGAATGCCCCAGTTGGATAAATGAGTGCTATTGCGATGCTGAACTACTCCACATTTGTGAACTACAGTTTGCAAGATTTCAAAAATGTATTTGTTTTGGTGGCTATAGTTCATCCAGATAGTTTAAAAACAGAGAAATAAATATTTTCATTCATGGAACGGATGTTAAGCACTTCCATTTTGCATCACAGTTACAAGAAGTCAAGTTACCTGTATCAGGACAACCTTCAGATTAATTTTAACTAAAGCTTCTCTCTCGGTTCTCAAATTATTAGCAAGCTATTTCTAATGAAATCACAGAAAAACAAAGTCATAATCTGAGGGAGTTAACAACTCAATACAGGGGCTTCTTACAATCAAATCCCGCTTCCGTACATATGCACAAGACCTGAAACTAGTTATTTGCGTACAACCACCGCCACCAAGGCAATGCATTTTTGAATGTGTCTGTACCTCTTCACTCCTTGAAGCCCTTGTTGTGACATGAAATTTGATTTTGTGAATGCACCGACTGCATCCAAATGACCAACTTTTATGTAAGGCAGATTTTGTTTGTTGGGGGAGGAGGGAGAGTTCTTAAAAAAAGTCCTAACAGCTATGGACTCTTAAAAAAAAAAAAATCCTACTCCTTTTGCTTTATCCCCCTTCAAGGCCTGAGTGTTGGGAATATGTTCTATGTCTTTTCTGATGATGGGATCACAGTCCTTCAGCCAAACGAATGTGAAATCCGGAGACACATCAGGCCCGAAGAGAGGATTTTCACAAGTTATGTAAGTCCTAAACCCAGCAGCTGCAGCCGACAGCTGGGAAAATTTCTCTTAATCTCTTCAAAGGTGGTTATTGCTAAAGGACCCATTTGACACAGTGATGTTGGAGCTTGGTGGGTTTCATGTGGCATCCCTGCGGTATATCATCTTCTCCTCTTGAAAACTAAGGGAACCACCTAAGTTATAAGATTGACGTGGAACATTACTGACACGCTGCAGAGAATTTGTCTAGTTATCATGTCAAAATGTAGGCAGAGGAGTAGGCAAAGACTTCCACTTGTCCTGTTTGAACTGTTTACATCTCCATGCCCAAGAGTTGTAACTGGGCTCTAGGGAAAGTACAAAAGTCTATAGCAGAGAGATGCACACATCACGGTGCTAACTGACCCCTTTTACTGATGGTGCCGCAGGCAAAGGAGTCGGCTCTTTAGAAATAGTTTCCCAGGTTAAACCACAGCAGGGAGGCGAGTAAGAATGCACAGAAGATGGTTGTGCCATGCTGGTCCTCTGCATCTTCTGCCGCTGAATCGGAGACCTGCACCGTCCTTGTTTGCTGTCCAGCATTTTCTGCCAGCACTGAGTTTACCTAACCCTTGCTTTAGGAAACCACAAGGAAAATTTGTTCAAGTGTCAGTGAAAGTCAAGCACTGGCTCGTACGCAGTGGAGCTCAACATGGCAAGTGGGATAACACGTGCCTGGAGGCCCTGTGAGGCCAATGTTTTCAGTGACCTGTGTTATGTACTCCCGTGCAGTAACATACACCGTGTATATGCTCATGAAACTATCAATTCTCATAAAACACAGGTGCTGAAATACATCCAGAAATGCTTTTTTGTCACTCCTTTATTTAGTTTTTTTTTAAAAGGGGAAGCTGAGAATGTGGCTCCCTTCTGAAGAAAAGAACTCAGTCTTGCTTTCAATTTTGGGAGGAATAAAAGGGGAGAATCACTGTCATGAGCCCTGCGGGCTGGGTCAGGCTCTGCTGCCATGGGTCAAGAACTTCTTGTGGGTCTGTATTCAGTATTTTTTACATCTCAATAAATTTGTCGTTGATATTGGGGGTTTTTCCACTGGATTTTAATATAACTTAGTAGAAATCCATACTGATGCTCACCCCGAGACTGGTCCTTAGCATGGGCATACTATTATTAAACCACACTTGAGCTGTTGCTACTCAAAGACAGAAATCTTGTGTTTCTTTTCCAAAGAGCTGTAAATATTGAAGAGGTGGTTCTGGAGAAACAGCTTGAAAAGAACAAAGGAGAGAGGGCACTTAAGGAAATAATGTCAGCACAGTGGTGGGCATAAGAGGAATTTTTAACGTCATTACTTGGCTGCCTTTCAGAGAGACCTCTAAGGGTTTCCTACAGATATCATAGAGCCTTTTGCCTTGGTATAGGGAGGATTGACTTTTTTTCCCTCCCTTTTCCCTTTTAGTATCCTGAGTGTTTGCCACATAGACAGTGACACCAGCCTGCAACTTTAGGAAGGTTTCTACAACAAAGGTTTCTTCATTTGCTATTAGAGGGCACAAAAGCAGATAGAGCAGCGGCAGCTGAGCACTGTAGCGGAAAGGCCGGTGACCTTTCCCTGCTCCTGTTGATTTGGGTGGACGCTGTGCTGTGAGAGCCCAAGCCCCAGTGCACCGCTGAGGATGAGGAGGGCCATTTGGAGGCTGTCAGGTGCTTGGTTGCATGAATGGCTGCTGGAAGCCCAAGGCTGGGCTTTTGTAGCATCTTTTAGCTTGGAGTAGCATAGATCCCCAGCCTGGCTGGAGGGCCAGAAAGGAAAATGCAGCCAAGCTGTTGAGTCTTGTATCTTCAACCCTTACACGTGGTCGCCACCAAGGTACCTAGCCAATAGAGCTGTGCTGCTTAGAGGTGCAATCTTTCTATCCGTAATCATTGCTCTGATACAGACCAAGTGTTGGCATTCTTTTTTCTTGTACCTCCTCACTGAACAACCTTTGCTGCTCTAACCGCTTTCCCCTTAGGGAGGTTGTGCCATTATTTAAAGTGACCCAGCTGTTGTATTGACAAGATTTAAAACCAACAGTTGTGCTCACTGAAATATATATGTGTTCATTTAATTTTACCCTCGTTTCCACACCTCAGCCTGGTCCCACACAAATGCTCTTTCAAGTAAAGCAACTCCACAGAAGGAGAAGCGATGAAGGGTAGCCAACACGCAGAGGCTTGCTGATGAGATCATGTGTGACTCTTCAAACTTGGGGTACCAGTGAGCTCCCACTAAAGCCAATACCAGTTTTGCACAGGACTCAGTGAGTGGAGGATCAGGGGCAAAATATGGCATCAGGCAGCTGTGAACAGGATTTGGTCCAAAGCAGCAGGATTTGGTTCCTTTTGAACAGGGGAAGTTTCTGTGTTGGAGCAATAGACTGTAGGACCCTACTTGTTTTGCTAGTGTTTCCCTGAGCACAAGCATCTTAAGAGCACGTTCTCCTGAACTGAAAATGAAGACTTTATGAAAAATATAAAGCTGTGATTCAATTAATGTAAATCACTGTTTTTTCAAAGCACAGAGTGATATTTGTTTTAATATCTATTGCTAAAAAATGCTGACAGCACTGCAAGTCTTGATGAACCACGGCGTACTTCAAAAGATAGATCCATAGACTGTGTGGTAATTTAAATTCAATGTGTGTTAGCAGGAGGTCCAGCTGTTTAATGTCACTGGGTAGAGCCAGGCTGCAGTGTGGTACCTAATAAAATAATTATTTCATGTTTTCCAGGAAAGAAAGGGGAAAAATATCATCCTAATGGAATCCCCAGGGAATTTTTTCCTACGGTTCTCAAGACTAAGCTTCTTGGCTGCTCCAGGCCCTGAACTTGTAGAAGTTAAACCTTTTCTCCTCTTCTGTTTTTTTCCCCCTCAGGAAGAGATCTGTCCCAGAGTGGAAGGTGAAGGCACTCAGTCCTGCCTCTGGGCTTCAGCGGTCAACGTCAGAGACAAGTACATTTATGTGACGCAGCCTAAGCAGAATAGAGTAATGATAATTGATATCCAGACTCAGAAAGCCATACAGGTACTTACAAGGGGAACTCCTTATTCACTGATGGCAAAAAACTTGATGTGGAACAAAAAAAGTAGATCTTTGCCCAGTGGATCTGCTGACATCACTAAAAAGTTGGGCCCGTGTTGTTTTCACCCATGGGGTCACACTGTGTCATTCACTGTTCTGTAACCTCACTGGCAGGAAAAAACTCCTCTATGGGTTGGATATCATAGTCTCAGGGCTGCATCTGCAGCCAGGCTTGCAGCTAGCGTGGTAAAATAATGCTAGGACGAATTTCTGGCTTATGCTTACTGAGCCGCTGCCTGACCTCGGTTATAAGCAGGTTGGGAGTAATGGAATGGTGTGGGTATAATTCAAGCAGAAATTGCCCCCTGATCTACTGGCTATATGTAACAGCATAAGATGGAGTGATGTCTAGCCGGAAAACGGCACCGAGCAGCCAGATTTTTCTGCTGCCGGTGCTGCTGCTGATCCCCCAATTGATTTGAAGGCAAAGCTGCACAAATGAGTGTAAGTGATGCATGGGAATGTCTGCAGTCAACTAATAGAATATTCGTCATGTGCATTTGGGTCACTGTGTAAATACCTATCTCTGGTTTTTTTAAGTCCTTGGATGTTGACCCATTGCCAACCAAATTACATTATGACAAGTCCCACGACCAAGTCTGGGTGCTTAGCTGGAGTGACATGCAGAAGTCCTCACCAACGCTGCAGGTAAGTCCTTATGCGCCTGAGCCTTTGCCCTTCCTTGGCTTGGCATCATTGCTAGCAGGCTGGTAGCTGGTTGCTTGCAGGTAATTAACAGCATTTAATGGTCTGGATATAAAGCTGCTCTTTCATTTGCATATCTAGTGTGTTTTATTCATCCCTCCTCCGTCCATCCTCACATATTTTTCCTGCTGTTTAATTTGTTTTTGAGCAACGACTGTGCCGTAGGCTGGCAGCGGGACTGCTTTGTTGCCAAGGTCTGTTTTGTTTTAAGGCTGATGACAGAGCCAAGTGCCGTAAAGTCATACAGCAAGGGCTGGCAGCCGACTGCGAGCAGTACGAGCCTGCAATGCTCCAGGTCATTTGTGCAGCCCGCGTGAGTGCGGCTTCTTTTTAACTTGATTGAGGTCTAAAAGCAGTGGGTACCAAGAAGCCACAAAGAGCATACTTTCTGCACAGAAATCTGTTACTGTTCAGGTTATTGGTAGTGTTTCATCGGATGTGCAAGTCAGGCCAAGCAACACATTCAAGGATAAGCCTAAGGTAGGGACTAAATGTGTGTTCACTGCAGAGCTTGCAGTGCACCCTTCTCAGACATTATGATGATCTGTGATTTCTTCTGTCTGCAAAGAATTTGGGGGCACTGCATGTAAAAGAAGCATTAAAATGTGAATGAACTGTACTGTGCCTCAAGATTCATACCTCTTTCAGGATTACTAGCCTAGCCCCCTTGTTATGCTTTGAGCAAAACCACCCTGTTCTCCAGTTTGGTAAAGGCATTTACCTCTTCTTATCTTCCGCGTAGGAGAAGTCCAGGTTTTCTGCCAGTGCACTAAATTGCTGCTTATTTTCCTTAAACTCATTTTGTCACTTGTCTTTCACAAGCCTTCATCCTCCTTTTGGATGATGATGGAGCATAATGTGGTAGGATTGTTCCTTTCATAGTAAAATGCAAACAAGAGCTCTCTAGGGCATGAAGAAGCCATAAACAGCAAAAGCAAAACCTCAGGGACAAATTCTGTTGCTGGGTGTCAGTGAGTCCACTGGAGGGGTGCCATTGAGGTCCCTGGAGCTGCACCATGCTCAGCACTGTCAGACCCACAGTGATATTGGGGCACAGTAATGCACATAGGTTTGGACAACTAAATGAGCTTCAGTTTCTGGATTGCCCTGGAGGATTTGCTCTTCTGTTGATGGTACAGAAACACTAAGTGCAGGCATCTAGTGGGCGTTTTGCTGCTGCTGTATGTCATATGACAGAGTTGGCACCAGAGCTGATCTGATCCATCCAGACACACCCTTCTCTAGTAGTTATTTTCTGGCACCTGCTGCCCAACCTTTTTGGAAACATAGGTGTCATGTGAATACTCCTTCTACCAGAAATGTTTGCTTCTCAGTCTACATTAAAGCATTCCCCAACAGGCAGAGAAGGGCGGCTGTGCTTTCTGACCTAAAAACCTACAAATCTGAAGCCTACGTTAGTCATGGGGCTGCCCAAGGCTTTGCTGGAGATGCTGTCCCATGAAGGTGGGTCGAGGCATCCCCACCAGCCACACGCTCCATCTGCGATAATGGCTACAGCCTGCAGGCTTTCAATAATAAAGAATGGACCAGCAACTCAGCAGGGGCATTTTCAGGAAAAGACGCCAGAAACAGAATGGGGGCAAATAAATGAAAGTTTCTGAGGCAATGCCACCAGCTTGTCTCACCTGGGGACAAGCGGTTTCCTGTACAGGGTATAAGGAGACAAAATGGGCTCTCTTTACCCTTTCTGACTTAAATTTCTTCCATCCAGCTGTGAGAAGTTTCTGTAATTAAAGGAGAGATGGCGCAAGCATGTGATTATTAAGAAGAACACACCATCTGCACAGTTGGAAACTTGTTATAAGGCTCCAGCTCTCAGATAGTCCTTTCTGTTATCTTTACAAAGTGCAGTTACACATGTAGAGAATGAGATTAGCATCAGCATCAGCAGATCTTTTCTTTTTTCTGACCTTCTTTCCCAAAAGGTGGGCAGTGACTAATTTGGCAAAGTTCGTTCTTAAAACCGGCAGTTGTTAGTTGCAGACATGAAATAAAATATCTTTTTTAACAAAGATGCTACTGCGGAGGTTGATCTAAATTTCCACCCATTCTTTGGAAGTCAGGGATCTGTCAAACAGCCCGTGCAGCCGACTGATGGGGTGCTGTTGTTTAGCCATTACTGGCTTCTGGGAAGCAAATGTCTGTCCTCCTGAAAGCCCTGTGCAAGAGTGGGCATCTTTCTTGAGCAATCTAATTGGAAGAAATCTAAATGGCACGACCAGAACAGCTGTCTGAACTAAACCTGGTAGGGCTTTAGCATTTCCTTAATGAATTATGTAGCTATAAATCCAAAGCAACTACTGTTGCACATTAGAGCAGCAGAAGTTCCTAATGAATGGACTAAAGTCGTCTTGAACCGAGCAAACAATTTAGGTATTTAACATTTTAATTATTGAAAACTACTACCTCTCCTTTTCCGGAGCAGTGGAGGAGCTGAGTTCCCATGGCCACGGAGGCGTGCGCTGTGCTGGAGGACAGCACCGGGGTGGGGGACAGCCAAAGGGCCTTTCTCTGCTCTTCTCTGAATTTTATGTGGTGCGGTGGATGGAAGAACAGTTCTTCTCCTTCAGAGTGATAATTAACTGCTGTGAGTTAGTGATTGATCCTTCAAGCTGGTAAATTATCACTGTGCATTTAAGTGAAATTAATAAAAATGACCATGAAATAAATGTTTGTTTTAGTGAGGAATAAATTATTATGGTCTTAGTGTTGTCATACTACTTCAGCTCCTGCATAACTGCTCTTTCTCGAGATATAAACATCTTACAAAAGTAGAGTTGTGTACTTACTTTACAAATGTCAAGCCTCAAATACTATTTATTAGCACACCTTTTTCAAGACAGCTACACCAAACAATATTTTGAAGTCATTAATCAATTTGAGTCTACTACATCCCTGGGAAAAGCCGCTCGGTACCGTGTATGACTATGTAATCTATATTTATCTTGCTGCCTTACTTGCTGCTTTTCCTGTACTCCACCTTGTGTGTATTTATTGTAGGTAATACCAGAGGCAAGTGCAGGGGAGGACCAGCATGTTATCCGCACACCGTTTGAAGGAGTGGATGATTTTTTTATACCACCTACAAATCTTATTATTAATCACGTTAGGTAAGAAATTATCTTAATGAATAGCAAGAGTGACCATACTGCTCTCTTCTAGTGGGCATCCTTCTAATAATCTTACAGCACTTGATGACTGTTAATAAATGAATTCGTGATCAAGGTAACTAGTCTTATCCCCATTTTCACATGTGACATGGAGAAATGGTTAAGCAAATTACCTATTGTTATTCAGCAAATCAATGAAACAGCAAGAAGAAAAACTGAACTTCCCTTGGACCACGCACAAGTGTCCTAGCCTCAGCTTGGTCAGTGACGCCTCCTTGCAGCACAGCAGGGCTCACTGCCCTGGCTTGCTTGTGCCGGGAATTTCATGGCCAGAAAGCTGCCTTTCCTCCTCAAAACCGCTTTATGGATCTGGGCAGAAACCTATGTCAAAGATTTATTGCCTGAAGTGGTAGAATTTTATTCTGCCTGAAGCATAAGGCATGGTTCTTCCACGTGTTTCCAGCTATTTACTTGTTCAAATATTGGATGTCTATGTGAGGTGTACGGTTTGAGCAGAAAAATGTTATGCGCTGCATATTAAAAAAAACACCTCAATGAACCATCGGGTTTGAATGTTAATGTGATGTAGTGGTTAATGAGATTGTATAACTAACATACTAATAACTTGGAGTACTACTGGCTGCTTCCCAGCAGGAACAGGAAACCTCCCATTACCGTTATCAAAATTGATGATAACTGCACGGCAATTTATACTGTTCTTACCATGTTGTAACATAACAACTGTTTAACCATCTTCTGTCCTCAGTATAGCTTAACTAAGTTAAACACTCAAAAAATCATAATGTAACTCCTTACGTTAATCTTAGGTTCCCTGCAGTGAACACCGAGGACGGGGGGCGGGGGAGTGGGGGGGTCACACTTAAATGATTATGTGTTGAATCTGATCCAAAATAAATAACTTTGCTTCCTGAAACACGAAATAATGAGACATACTTCATGGCTGTCAGTCTTAATTTTTCCCTACCTCATTTTTCCAGTTTGCTTTCAAAATATCGTTGTGACTAATAGTAGTGCCAGGAGGTAGATGACTGTTGAATGTTAAAGCCTGAGATGAGAAGGTATGACCTGGGTTCAAAGACAGGAAGGTGGAACAATTACACTTTTTTTTGTTTGTTTTATTGTTTTTTTGCTTCACTGCGATTAATCAGCTGTATACAGATGATCTTCCGTAAGAAATATTAAATGTAGATAATTGTCTATAGTTTTTCATGTGCAAAGCAGAAAATGCTGTGCCTAATTTCCTATTTCATTTGTTCAGGGCCAGATCTTTGTCCATTCTCTCTCACCCTCAACACAGAAAAATAATTGCTCACAGTCTAATGAGACTTACTGAGATCATGTTCTAAATTCTCCACTCAGAAACAATAAATGGCAATACCAGCATTTCCCAGGAAGGTGAATATTTAAGCAGTCTCTTCCGCCAGCCAAAAAATATTTGTATGCAAATGTTCCTGCATATGTATTTCAGCTGCCTGTTATTTCAGATAGTTATCTAGGAATGTATCCATTTTTATTAGTTGCCAGGGTGGGTTGCTGTCTATTAAAAACTCTCTAAGTGCAAGGTTTTCTTTGAGATTTCAGATCACAGATTTCATGCAAGCTCTGCACCTCTTCTGCAGCTGCGTACACATAAAACACATTCTGACCCACTTTTTTAAATTAAAGTTTATGATAAGAACCATTTTTTAACTTCTTCGGGCATTTGGCCAAGTATTAAGGAAGTCTTGGGAAAAAAATGCTGTAAGGGAAAGCATTTTTTAAAGTGTACTTAAAATGCATTCATCCAAGAGAAATACAAGTGTCATATCCAATTTCCCCACACACAGTGCGCTACGTATCTCCACTGTAGATGTTTTCTGAAGTCTCTAATGGATGTGAGTATAATGGGAAAATGAAAGGCTTAGCCCAGTGATTTTCATGGGATCTTACACTACATTGGCTCCTTCTTTAGAAGTGAAATCATTGCTGTGTGTCTCATTGACAGTTGGGTTAAGAATAAAGAAATAAACCCAGTGTTTTAAGCAAAATATATATTATCTGCATGCAAGTACGTTGTCCTCCACATTTCACAAAGCAATTTTACATCTTTCAGGGAGGAGATACAAAACTGAGCACTCTCTTCATTTCCTTCTGTCTGCACTGAATGGATGAAAAGATACTCGATGTAAAATTAGTTTTCGTGAGTCAGTGTCAGTGACCTGTGAATCCGGGGGAACACAAACAGGCTGTTTCTATGGGCTCCCTCTCAAATTAAGCAGAAACCTTGCTTGGCTATTCTTGACCTTTTCTTGTCTTCAGCAAAGGTCAGATGTGCTGCAGCATATATCTTTTACAGAACATTTATTCTCTGCTCACTGTTGTCTTCCCTCTCTTGAGACAGAAAACAAAGACCCCTTTTCTTCAGTGCACCCTGGCTGGTTATGTTCCTGACGAAATGTTTTGCACCTTCCCTGGGCTGGCGGGGTGGTGCTTGACAAAGTCTGCTCTACACCTCAGCCTTGCCAGCTGCTGCAGTGGTCCCCAAGCACCAGGGGTAGCAAACGCACCTCACAGCTACCCCCTGATGCTATAATTTAGGAGATGAGGTTGGACATGGCCTTCACTCAATGGTTATACATATAGTTCGAAGTTGCTCTCTGGCCCCAACCTGGCAGGGATATGCTTTATTTTGAACGGTTTTCTCTTTTGAGATTAAAGTAGTCTTGAGTATATATTGAATTACATCTCTGTAGACTTGAAACAGGTTAAAACTGGTCTACAGTAGCCTACAAAACGCCCAAGCCTTGATATCATTCCTACTGTAAATTGGTCTTCCCAATAAAAGGTTTCAGCTCTTGAAGATGTTATTCAAATACCCAAGCACATATTTAGGCTTCCAGGATAAGGTTGCTAATTTTAACTGAAATACATACCTCCTTTTAGCACATTGTAGAAGCACTAAAACAAGAGAGATTTCTTACAGAAAAGAGACAGCATTATTGCACATGCTTCCAAAACCAACAGGATAGAGTTTCCCCGTTCTGCTGACTTTCATCTTTTCTCAAGTGTATCACCGTGTCTCCAGAGATGGCTTCAGTGTCGTGTTTTCTATTTCAGGTTTGGCTTCATCTTTAACAAATCCAAATCCGCAGTTCACAAAATTGACCTGGAAACTGTGACCCACATCAAGACTATCAACTTCAAAAACTATAGCTGTGTACCGCAGACCATGGCTTATACCCACCTGGGTGGTTACTTCTTTGTCCAGTGTAGGAGGAATGGGTCGGTGGCTGCATCGCCGCAGCTCATTATTGACAGTGTTACCGATGCCGTCATCGGCCCCAACAGCGACGTGTCGGGCACACCTTATATCTCACCGGACGGACGCTACTTGGTCAGTGCGGATGAAGACAGTGGCAGGATCAAAGTCCAGGCTCTATCTGTCCGAGGGGAAATCAAGTTGATTTATGACTTACAAACAAACATACACGTATCTGATCTGACATTTCAACCCTCTTTCACTGAAGGCAATCAGTACTATATATATGCTACATCACATTTGCAAACAGATGTGCTTTTTGTAGAGCTGTCAACGGGGAAAATGAATGTACTGAAGAATTTAAAGGACCCTATCACATCCAAAGACTGGCCCTGGAGCAGCTACAACAGAATTATGAAAGACAGTGGATTATTTGGACAGTATCTCATTACACCAGCTAAAGATTCATTGTTCGTTATAAATGGGAGGCAAAATACATTACGCTGTGAGGTTTCAGGTATAAGGAGGGGTAACATAGTGGTCTGGGTTGGAGAGGTATGAAAGGGCAATAGCAGTCGAGCCTTCGGCAGGCAAGTACCGGTTGGACCTTTACACTGCAACAAATGAGCAGTAGCATTGTATATTTTTACACTGGGAAAAAAAAAAAAGAAAAAACAAAAAACCCCTGTATAGGCTTCATGGTACAACACTGGTCTACTTGCAAGTTTTATAATATAAGGTATGCTCTGCTAATAGGAAGTGGTTTTGAAGGGGTATTTTTTATTTGGGGGTATGATTTGTGGTTATGAGAAAAATGCTGGGAAGTGATTAATATCTCCACTGAGATATCGTATAAGCCACGAAACCTAGTGATTCTGTAGAACAAAACAGATTTTGAGTTTCCATACTGAGGAGCTTTTACGTTGTGTTCAAGCCATCGGTTTTCTTTCCTGTATACCTTGCCCGTTAGCTGTGCTGACTACCCCATCCCAACACAGAGAGACTACAGAAGCAATGACTGCAGTTAAAATTCACCTTTGGATGATGAGGGAAACTAAGCATCGGAGAGCAGTTTTCAACCCACAGAAACCTAGGAGAGCGATTTAATGAAAACTGATCAGTTTTCTCTGCAGGATGGCTTTGGGAGGATTAACGGATGTGATTTCAGAAGGAGGCATAACAGAAATAGTAACTGTCAGCTCGCTTTCTTCTGCGCTTAATTTTGCTCTTGGTACTACTGAAGGCAATGTTATGAGTCCCCCCTCTTCTAATGTATATTTGTGTGATTGTATTTGAGAAATTTGGCATGAAATATCCAGGCCATTAGAGTGGGTAAAAGCCAGGAAACACCGGGGGAGGGCGGTGGGTCAGAGTTTGTAAACAATTTTGTTGAGAAGGGAACATTAGTCTTTTGGTAGCTAGTGAGTGTGGTCAGCTTGGGCACAATATGCAAAATCTGCTCTTCAGGGGCAGAGAATTAGTTATGGTTATTCCCACAGGAGGCAACAACACTTCTAGAAATTGTTGGTTTCTCTCATTAAATATTTAGTAGCACTGAAGTCACTTGGTTCTCTGTAAAATAATAGCTACAGTGACAGAGGGTATTTTTAATAGAAAACTCACTCATTCTCTAGTCATAGCCTTAATTTGCCTCTTTATTTTCAGACATCCCGGGAAACAATTTTTCTTTGTGATTTTTTTCTTCCCCTTTATAGTACATTTGTTTATAGTCAATTATCTTTTAGTTATGAGCAAAAAGATCCATGTAAAACCAGCGGAATTACCCTAGAATGCAACAGCTGGCATTGAGAAATTTCGGTCGAGTTCCCATAAAAATATAGATCCATTTGCACATTTGGAAGATATAAAAACTTTTCTAGTTGCGTTTTTGTAACTTTCTATATCAATCACCATGAAGTAATCAGGGCAAGAGCAGCTATGGCTCGCAAAGTGGTGCAAACCAGGTGAGCATCGCTGCCACCATGAACGGGCGCAGCCGAGCAGTTGTATTCCCACGTGCCGCTTTGAAAAGGTGGCCTTGATGTGGGTGAAAACTCTCTCTGAAGGTAAACATCTGTTGCATCGGAGCCACCCGCCGGCCTTTTGAAAGATCCAGCTCGTTTTGCGAATGACCTTGTGCCCAGAGTTTGTACGAAAGCAGCTGCTGAACGCATCAGGTGATACGTAGCGGCGCAGTAATTATTTTCCAACACAGATGCTTAAAGTCACCCATTTCACAGTGCACACAGAGGGATCTTAAATGAGAAGGATGCAGACTAACACTGGTAATCTTGGCTTTAAATGTTAAACTTTACCAAAAGAGTATCATTTTAGCATGGCTGTAGACCTGAAGTAATTTAAACCATTTCGGTTCTATAGAGAATATATAAAAATCTGTTCAGACAGACAACGAAGGGGAGCTGAATCCTATGAATTCATTAAACATGGAGTCCTTGAAATTGCCCTTCAACACCCATAGGCTGAAACCTACATCTCTTTTCACTTATGAGCCATAGGGGTTAGAAGAGACTATCCCATCATTGCAACACAGACATAGAAAACAGATTGGCATAGCCTTCCTTTAGCAATGTATGGTGTCCATGATTTTCTACTCATCTGGTTAGGAAACATACCCATGTCAAGGAAAGGAGAAGACCAGCTTTGTAAGTACCTTTAAATATGCACAACTCCTTTCTTGAACAAAGCTGTATCCGTACATTGCAGTCATCCTAAATGTGTTTTACCAAGGCCAAACACTGCTCTCGTGTTATCTTTTATGATTTCTTGAATATTTTATTATGTCTATGGTAAGTTTCCCTGTAGAGACGTTCATTGTGTCATAGATCAAGCAAATATTACTTTTTTAAGAATATTAAAAAAAAAACCTGTATATATCTGTTCAGGTAAATATTCTCGAGGCTGGTTTATATATAGGCTGTGAAAGATGTGTAACAGATCTCACTTCTTCCTGTTTGTCGCAAAATATTGGAATAGCGTTCACTTGAAAAATCCCACTTGGACCTTCCAAAGATGTTCCCTTTCTTCCCTCTTCAGCCCAAGTTCTGGTGATGTGTTTTCTAAATTATCCTAATGGTTATATATCATACTTAGAAACTGAAGTACGACTTAGATTGTCCACACTACTTGTGAACAGTTCCAATGACAGTCAAATCTGACATTAAAGTGCTGCACATTTGTTACTCTGATTTTATTTTTTTTATGACACAGAAATTTTATATATACTCAAAAAATGTTTCAACTCATTTTTGCCTTTCAACTCTGTCACAAAGAGACTACATTTCCCTGTTTGCAGTTTCTTGCCCAGTCTCTTCGTGTTCTCCACCAATTCACTATTAATTCCTAGCTAATAAATTAATTAATCACAGTGATTAATTGAAATTAATTTAAATTGAATTAATGACCATTTAGTTATCCTATAACACTCATATATCGGTTGGGTATTCTGACACTAGAATCACGGGAAAAAAATAGTCCCTGGTTGGCAATAAGTCTCTAGTCCCACGAACAGCTGTATTTTCCATTCATTGTTGAGGTTAAGCAGCAGTATAATGGAAATACTGTTTTGTCGTAGTATTTCCCTCAATATTTTCACTTGCTGAATGAGGGAGAGTTTTTACTTAACATCTTTAACTATGCAGTTCAGTGACTATTTAGAAACCGTCCACTTTTCTTTTAAATTGGAGAGAAAAGTCATGAGTGCCTTAATTTGGAATCTGTGACAATAATTAACATATTCTTATCGTTTAATACTTTGATTTTTTTTTTTTTGTCACTACAAAAAAATTAACAAAATGCCCAAAAGATTTCAGTGGGCAGAGGTGGGCCTGCCCGCAGGATGGGTGGGAGACGGGAACCTTGCGGAGCTGCTCGGTCACCCCTGCAAAAGGGGCTTAGCGAGGGGGGGGGGCTATTGAAAAACACTTCACCCGCCCTGGAGGAGTTTGGCCGTTTGGCTGCGTTGACCTCCATGAACACGGCTTTGCCCAAGAGACGCACGAGTCCCGATGACCTGGCAACAAGTACTTATTTACTTGATTTATACCATGATTAGGTCTTAATTACTGGAGTGGCCGGTAGTGTGCTAGATACTGCGTAAAACATAAAAAGGCCAAGATCTCAACGCTGTAAGGAGGTAACAGCCGATTCCCTGTCTGACCTTACAGCAGGTCAACAAAGTGAACAGGAAAGCGGGAACTGAGGCTGGGGGAGACGGAAGAGTTGACATGTGTGCAATAACCTGGTTATTCATCAAAGACACAGGCATGCCATGATGCCCGTATATTTTTTTCCCTAAGACCCCCTTCGTCCCTCCCCGCTCAGGGCTTTATTTTAAGCAAACATCCATAGGGTTGCTTGCATAACCCCACACATGCTGCTTCTCTACATCAAACCCCTGGGACTGGGACTAGGCCACTCGAGCCCAGGGATTTCCCTGTCTGCTGCGTATCCTATGACTCGCCACCTCATGCTCGGATAATTCCTCCCTTAGAAAACCTGGGGGTAAATCCTGCTTGTTCTAACAAAGTCCGTCCCGCAAGGCGAGCAGCCAGCGCCCGGTTTCCATGCCGGATTACAACTCCCACTCTGCCTCCCATCTGAAACCCGCATTTGTTGCTTGATTCACTGCTTTGCACATTTTCTCTTGGACTAACCAAAAATAACCCCCAAAAAACCCTACCATATAGATAGGTTATGGCGAACCAAGCAGTGCTCAATGTTATATTTACCTCTTCTAGTGCTGCTACTTGCTCCTCCCCCCTGCCTCACATGCATCTCCACTGCCGGCTGTGTGCTTTCACGACAGGTACCACCAGCTGCTGTTCCTCAAATGCTTTGAACTCCGTTCTGGATGTCACCCCTCCTTCCCCCTTCGTGCATCTCTACCCTGGTGCTGCGGCACTCGGCACCTCAGCAGATTTGTATTTATTTTTTTTCCCTTGCTGCTTTTTGAAGCAGACTGAAATAAAACACTGGGAAATCTCTCTATCTGGAGACCAGGAAAACCTGGGTGTTTCTTTTAAAAAAGAGATGGTGCAGCGATATTTGGTCTTGAGGACGGGACAAATTCCCGGCCAAGCACAGCGAGCCCAGGAATGTAGTGCTCCTATCTGCCAGTGAAAGAAAAAGACACCTGAAATGTCACCCTTTTTTCAACCTGCCTCCAACAAGAGGGTTGGTTCTTTTTTAACACTGATCTCTAAAAATAAAGAATGAAATAGCAAGGTTATGAGGATTTTTTTAAATCACCCTGAAAACAGAGAAACGAGACAGGCAGGCATCAATCCCACCTCTGCTCACATCTGGTAAAAATCAGGATGCCCCCAAAATGCAAAGGCACTGACTTGGGGCTCGTGCCCAAGCGGTGGGACTGAGCTGCAGCCCGGGCTGGGGCCGTGTTGCCAGCGATGAAGGGGGCTGCAAACACAGAGCTGCAACTATTCATTTATTTCTTTATGACATGCAATGCGAGCTGGCTGTTGCAGCCCGGCCTGATACATTCGCCAAAATACCTCAGGTGCTGAAATCCCATGGCTGCCCCGTACGATGAGGTGGGCTTTACAGCCCGTACAGGCAGAGCAGGATGGTTTGAGCATGACCGGTGCGACTTGTTATGTTGTTGGCCCGATCCACTCTCCGCACCAGC